CCTTGCCTGCCTATGTCCTTAAACCAACACGGCTGCAACCAAAAACCCAACCTTTCAGGGAAAGTGAGGCACAGGGGGAAACTGAGGCTTGGGAGGAAGTGAGCACAGGTTGTCAGTTATGTGTGGAGCAAAGGGTGAGGGGGAGCATCCAGGAACCCCTGCAGCCCACACATGCCCAAGTCAGCCTGGTGCACCCTGGATCATACGAGCAAATGAGTTAATGGACCAGTTTTCTATGCAAGTTCCTTGAAAGCCACAAAGTGGAAAGCTGCAGACATGAGCACCCCAGCTCCCCCAGCTTCTAGGAACCCAGGACCAGGGGTCATGGTTTTCCTCTCCCACTCCAGTGTGGCATTCACCACCTCTGTGTGGGCAGCACAGGGGCAAACCCAAATGGTCCCCAGGCAAACCAGCCAGAACTAGATTTGTTTAAGAAAATAAGTTGAGTGAGAAGAACTTATTGCAATGTCGAGAGTCCTGGACACACTAGATTCCCATAAGCGGCATCAGGCCCGGCCTTGAACCCAGCCCTACCCCTTTCTCATATGGAGACCTCCTCCAGTTCATAGCATGGTCTGTATGGGGAAGAGAAGGGGTGGTGTTTGTTGGCATTGCCTTGGTTATCTCCCTGAGCACAACCTTCCTTCAGCTTTGTTTGCTGGAAGCCGGGCTGCAGGTTTGCATCTAGTTACCTGGTTTCACTACAAACAAACCGAGTTCAAAGCACCCACTCCTCCTCACTCCCCTCCTGTGGAGCAGGTAAGACAGGACGCTCTCTCCCTCTTTCTCTCTCCTATGCAGCGTGCTCTGCTCCAGCAGCTGGCTGCCTCTTGACTTTCCCAGAATCACCAAAGGTGTGCAAGTGCAAAGCAGCCCCTCAGGGCTGGGTATTTTTTTGAAAGCCTCCTTTGATTGAGGAGATGTGAAGCTGACATGCCACTGACAGGCAGCTCCAGGCACTTCCCTGCTGCAAAGGAAAAACGCTGTTTAAAGGAAAGGCAGGGTTTGGGGGAAAGCCTGCAGCAATAAGGACTCTGCTCAGAAAGTCTGAATCTCTGGCATTAACTAGAAAAACTGGCACTGCTGGTCCTGTCATGGGTGGTTTGACCTGTGACCAAACAGGGTGTTGGACATCTGCCGAGAGGGCAGCTTGGCACAGCAAAAAGAGGGGCTTGTGCTAGCGTGGGGCAAATCTTTCTGGGTATTTTGTAGAGGAGTTAAACAGAGCTATCGGCAGCGGTTCTCTTATTATTATTGCCCACTCCTTCCCAGGAGAAGGCCGCGCCGATGGCCAACAAGGCCACAGAACCTCGTGTCCCCATGACCCTGCAGAGGTCACGTCTGAAGGCCGAGGAGAAGACCCTGGACTTTGAGTTTGAGGTGGTGAATGTGCAGTTCAATAAAACGGGAAGATATGCCCTGAGGTTGACTGTGGAGAACCTGCTGCTGGAGGGGTCTGGGGCTGGGGTGAAGCTGCGGGTGAATGAGGGAGACGCCCAGTACACCACCGTGGGGACCACCGACATCATTGAGCAGAGCAACCCCAATGAGATCTGTTCCTTTGAGAGGAGGAAATTTATCTTCACTCTGCCCAAAGGTGAGAGGTTGCGTGCGAGAGGGAAAGGGAGGAGAGGAAGGGACAGGTCCATACAGCCTCACATAAGTCTGAACTCCCCAACTCAGAACTTCCCTATTCATCGCTGGTTCCTTGACTGTGAAGGATGGGTCTTCACTGAGCTGCAGACTTTGGCTGGTAGTAAAAGGCTTTGTGCAGCAAGCCTAAATACCCAGGCACTTCTCTGCCAATGCTATTCTTGCCCATGAGCAAGCTGGGCTGGATCAGGTTTTGCATAGGGAGGGTTGGATTAGGTTGGGAACTTGAGAAATGCAAGGGACTGTGTGGCTGGAACAGATGTGGGCAGGCAGGATCAACTCTCAAGAGGCAAGCAGTACAAGGCCTGTTGTAACATGTGCTTGTGTGGGTTTTGGGGGCCAGGATTCTGCAAAAATGACAAGAACCACGATGTGCGGCTCCGGATTGAAGCTCTGCAGCTCCGTGGTGCCTCCATAAAGAACAGCCTCCGGGCAGGGGAAGCCTTCTTTGCCATCTATCCTCGCACGAACCAGCCCCGGATCAACCTCTTTGCCAAGAAGGATGAGGATCTGTACCGTTACGACGATATCATGGCGCTGCTGCGGGTGGGCAATGATAAGCTGGCAATGCATTGTGGGAGACTGGCCTACAGTGTGTGCTTTCATGAGCACCACCCACCCGTACCAAAGGAAAGACATGGTTCATCCCATCAGCTTTCACCCCAGCCATCCACAAAGGAAGAGGGGGCAAAAACACCACGGACATCATCCCTGATGCCCCTGAAGTCACTGGGAACCCCCTTGCAAGGTCACTCACATGTTACTCCAGGAACATCCACAGACTCTCCTAGCCATTTGCCAGCTGTGGACCTCCACACCTCCTTACCAGAGGTAATAAACCTATGTCTGTGCAGGATGGAAAGGGTGAGCTGCTTCCACAGGGAAAGGAGCTGCTTACCACGGTTAAGGAAGGTGGGTAAGGTGGGCAGTAAGAGAAAAGGTGGCCTAAGCATCAGCTATGAGGGCACTGAAATGCCTGAATTCAAACCGGGCAGGATCTGCCCAGCCTGCTACCTCTCCAGATGTTTGTCTAGAGAAAGGAATGTGTCACTGGTATAACTTATGGTTGTGACCATCATTCTTCTTCTTCTCTACTAATGATGCTCCAGGACATTTGGCTGCTACATCTCAAGCCACAGGGGCTGCTGCATTTCACTGTGATTGTATGTGCTGTGGACTGAAGCCCCCTGCTAGCTTGTTCCAAAGAAAGCATCATTCATTTCTGACCCTGGCACAGCCCTGAGGACCCCACATTTTTCAGCCCCTCCATGGTCCAGCAGAACCTAGGTCTTGGCCCTGCTTCTTTGTGAGATAGTGGCAAAGTGAGGCCAGAAGGTGGGATGGTCTTGCAGGTTGAATACTCCTAGACAAGAATAAGCAAGTCCTTCATCTCACCTGGTTCATATGGTTCTGCTTTAGCTTTGTTTGAGGTGTGGATCAGAATAGGTCTGCCCATCCCACTTTAGATGGGATGGTCTTCCTGCTCTCACTTGGTCCAGTGCCTGAGCAGCACTCTGAAGCCAAGAGTCTCACTCCCCAGTTGTGGCGATTTCCCAGGGCCTTCCATTTACTTCAAGATTGATGGTTCCTTTTATGTCCCATTGTTTCCCTTTCCTTGCACAGTGATAAACCCTCCATGGTTGAGGTAGAGAGGCCATATGCTTTATAATTTCTCTGGGACACCATCTCTTCTTGCAACAAACAGACAGATCTCATTCTCCATCAGCCTTTGCATTAATACAATGATCCATCCAACTAACCCTTTAGTTACTGTCTGATATTGTCAGGTAGAGTCTTCTATGGAAAAACCCCAGACAAGCTAGAAGTCTGCCCATGAAACCTTGTGTAACAAGGTGCCCTGCCTTTTGAAAGGCCAGGAGGCCTGGGGTTGGCCAGCAGAGCATAATTACCACACTCAGCTAGGAAGTGGCTAGATGTTTCCTACAGGGCTCTGAAAGAGTCAGGGTAGGAGGGGATTAGGCTTTGAAGTGGTTCTTGGTGCATGGGGAGGAAGTTGCTTGAAGCAGTAGCTTGGTAGGAGTAGAGGAACTGGTTGCTTCAAAGCTATATTAAAATTAAACTCTGCCCTGGAAGAGATCAGGGTGGAGCAATGAGTCCTCCCCAATCTGAGGGAACTAGGCAGCTTCCCTGCCTACAGGTAAGGAGCTGATTACACTTCTGCTTATGGAGTGGGGTCCTGGGCTATGGAGAGATCGCGATGCCAAGTGAGGTGAAGAATCCCCTCCCCCGGGACCCTGGGGGTCCCATTGGGAAGACCTATGGGTCTGAGATGACAAGAGCTGCCCCAGGGATAGCTGCTGTATGGTGTGCTTTCATTGGAGCGACAGCCCCAACGGAAGCCAAGTTCTTACTCAGTTGAGCACCATGGGCCCCAGCTGGGATGGTGAAAGTGTCATCGCTCTACAAGAAAATCCAGTGGGTCAGTACTGTGGTCAATGGCCAGTTCTCAGCTGCTTCATCCCTCCTTAAACTCTATGGAGCCCTGACTCTGGAGGAGTTTGTGTGGGGATTGGTATCAGAGCTGATACTCTCCCCCCTGATATTGCCTGGTCCATGGACGGAGATGGATAGTAACAGGCCTGCCGTAGGATATGGTGGGCTAGTAGGGAGAAAAACAGGACATGCCATTCTGTATCATTGCTCCCTCCTGAAATGTGGTTTGTCGTCATCTTAGCAGATATCCAAGCTACCTGTTGAGCCTGACCAAGACTCCTCCCCAGATCTGGAGGATGACTCAGCAGATGAGGCACTCGCTTCTTCCTCCTCTTCACCACCCATGCCGAGGCACTTACCAAGCAATGCCAGTTTTCACCTCTCTTCACCAGGATACAGCCCAGATCTGGACTGCCAACCCTTCTCTGAGATGCAGGTTAGTAATGGGTCTGCCTTCCTCAGCATCTTGATCCCTGGGTACAATGCCAGGGAGCGCATGCAGTTTGGGAAGACATATGATGTCTCATTCGATCTGCTCTGCTCTCCATGCAGCCTCCATTTGGAGTGGAAAGGTTTTACCCAGAGTCTAGACTGTCTAGTCCAGTCAGTGGTGGACCGAGATAGCACGATCCAAGTAATACTTCTGTATTACTGTGCTCTGGCCTCCTGGGAGACAGGTCCACAGTCTGACATTCCCTGCCAATCTATTTGTGCATGATGTGAAGCTAGCAGAATTAGGCTGGGAATGGATTTGCTCTATCTTGGTTCTTTTGCCTACATCCTCCGAACTCAATTCCACTAGCCCACTGTATTGTTTCCAGCCTCTCTATGGCAATCTAGGGATGATAGAGATAAAAATGGAGGCCTTGGAAGTCCAGGGAATGAATCCTATATTGGAAGTGAAACAAAATGTGTCGGCTGACCCCTGCATGCTTCCCAGTGACTGGCTTATGAAGAAAAACCTAGAGAATTCCTTGGCCTCCAGCTAACCTCTGTTATCAGTGCTGAGAAATTCCCAACCCAGAGCCTGCATTCATGTCTTGTCTACAGAAGTATGTCTGTGAGCCCAGCACTGTAACGTGTGAGCGCTTCAAGCAGTGATGTATTCATCTTGGCAACATCTCTGAGGGAGGGAGGGGGGAGAGATAGCTGAGGCCTTTGGTCCTGTCTTTATATGATTAGCAATAGCACTATTAATATTCAGAGCTGCTGCTGCTGACCGAGCAGATTCTAGGAACCAAAACCCCAAGGGCCCCTGACCTCACTCCTTTCCTTGCCCTGTGGAAATCGCAGTCAATGAGGTCCGTGACACCTCCACTTAGGGAGCGCTCGGGCTGGCACCATTTTATGTGGATGTAGGGCAAGAAGTGTGTTTCTGACCACGTATGGATCAAGCTCCCTGTCTGAGCTGACCAGCAGTATATCTGCACTGATTTCTTGCCCCTTCCATTGAAGTGAATACTTTGGGTGATGCTGCTTCAGAACTGAACTGGGGTGGAAACCGCACGTCCTGGCCTCAAGGTGACATTTTTATAATGGATTTCAGTTTGACCCTTATGAAGGGGTGAAATGGAAGGATGGTAAGATTAAAGCAGGAGCCTGTAGAGCATGACTCCCCAAATCATAACAGGACTTTTCTTGTGTGGCTCAGACCCAGGGGAGGCATGAATCACCCTGTCCATATCATCCCGCTACCCAAAAATACACGGGGATATTTGGAAGCCTGTAATATACACAAAAATCCTTCCCGCTCTTATCACAGCATGGGTCTTCTTCTTTCGTATGGCGTTCTAGGATTACAATGTTCATAGATTAATATCTAAATTTGATAACACTTTGACTGCTTCAGGGGTGGTTGCATGGATTGAATTATGTTGCTATTAAATGATCTAACTGGGCAATCGCATGGTGGTTTATCCCCATAGAGAGTAGGATTTGCCCCATGAGAACAAGGTTGTGGTTGGTTATTCTGGATTTATTAATTTTCTTTTCTTTTCTGTTCTGATCTTTTCTTTTCGAGAGAGGATGGGGAAGTTCTAGAAAGGTTTCCCACTCCACCCACCTTCTTTCCCTTGATATAGTCATACCCTTGATATAGGTATAGACTTGATATAGACATACCCTTGTGCAGGGAAGTGGGGTGGCGGGGGGCAGAATCGCAGTTACTGGGTGCAAGTGAAGTTGAGTAGAAGGAGAAGCAAAGCTGATCTCTCTTTTCTTGAACAATTTAAAGAGAAAGGAATAGGGGAGGCAAACCAACTGCATGAAAAGTAAAGACTGAACTTGGATGTTAAACATTCATTTGGATTTGCCCGTTACAGGGTTTATACGCAGAGACTCTCCCAGTGCTCTTGCATATGGTGGTGTGTGTGGTGGGAGGGGGTGTTGTGTTTTTTAATGCCAACTTCTGGAGTCCTGAGATTCGACGAGGATCTCTGCTCTTGGTTTGTAATAACATATTTTGGCCATTGTGCCTGCAGACAAAAAGCTGGAAAAGTGGGATTCCTGATAACACAAATCTAGAGGGTGAATCAGATAAAAAGTATCATCTTAATTTCATGATCTGGGGGAGGGAGACGCCTTACATTTCTGTTTCTTTTTTTTCTTTAACACTGTGGGTGTAATTATGAATCTTTGATCTTTATCATTTCTTTGGCCCAATCAAGTGCCAGAGTTCTGCTATGCCAGGAGCTGAACAAACAGAAAATGATAATCCTCGAGAGGGTTGCTCTGTCCTGTCTCTGTCTTGCTTTCTGGTCTTTGGACCTGATACTCAATGAAACAGGGACCTAAAAGGTTGATATAAAGAAACCTAGAATTGAGCGTAACTTAACACTGGCAATGATGAATGATAATGAAAGGGCCCAATTCTCACTTTAAATTCTTGTCCCATATACAAATAGATGGTCCTTATTAAGTGCAAGCAAAGCCCTGGGCTTTAAGGGCCATATCCTGTGAGCTGTCAAGTGCTTCCTCCTGCTGATAACTGAGTGAGCATTTCAGAGGAAGGTTTCAGACTGTGACTAACTGAGCTTGCCATCCAATCCCTCCATGGAGTAGAGGCATTTGTCAATGGAGAACAAGAAAGCAAGAACCTCTCCCTTCTTGTAATAAGCAGAGAATTCGCTGGCCGGAAATGATTATTAGTGTGGCCCTGATTGAGTTTGCTCAGCAAACGTCTAGACGTAAACCTTTTCCAACAGGAGGAAGGCAAAGGAAATCAATAGTAATCAGCAGCGAGCCAGAGTCATTGTAAAGGGAAAGTTAAGGTAACAGGCTGGGCATGGGGAGAGGAAGGGGGGATAAAGAGGGAGTGAAGCATCAGCAAATGCAATTTATAACCTCAGCTCCTGGGCCCCCAGGGGGAATGCAGTGAGCTAGTGCAGCGATAAATCGTGCTGTGCTGATGTCACTCTGGAAACATTTGCCAGGATGGCCTTATTTAAAAACTTAAAAACTAGGGAAGCGGCATGTGTTAACTCTCTCTTCCCTGGTTAAGATTAACCAGGGAGGTACACTTCAAGATACAATGGACACTAGATTTTTTTTTCTACTGCCTGTAAAATTGCCCTGTCCTTGACTGAAATACATTACCTGACATTGAAGGCTGTATCTGCGGTCCCTGTTCCGGGTTTTCAGTGAGGCTGCAGCTGGAGTTGTGCCCTAAAAGGTGAGCTGAGATGGTTTGCAAACCATGAAGCTTTCTGGGTCATAGTATATGCATGAGAGGTCACCCAGACCTTTGACACATACGCCTAGGCAGGATTATGGAGGAGCAGAGGCTGCTCCGACCTTCCATCCCCGCTTTAGGACATTGAGACAGAATCCAAAGGCCAAACCAAGTCCAGGCACGTGCTGCCTCCATGGCTGTAGCTATATAAATGTTCAGGAGCTGAACCCAGGTCGCCTATATGGCAGACAAGGATTCCAGCACTGAACCACGGGGGACTCTGGTGAGCTGAGAAGATCCCTAGTATAGACCAGTTATTTGGTAATGCCCAGCTGGCATAGCTACTCCTGCAGGGTATGGAAGGCATCCTTTGTTTGAGGGGGGAGGAGATGATCTAAAGTAACCGGGTTCTTAGCTAGTAGAACAGTCTCCATGGGACAGCTGCAGCTAAGGTGTTAGAGCAGCCTGAAGACTGCTCTAAATTGTACCAGAGAATCATTTTTGTCTCTCAGCATCCCCCAAGCTGTGCTTCTGGTCATATTTCTCTTCCCCTTCCTCAAATTAGTCACAATGTAGCTGAGAGCTCTGTCCTAGCCATACCTCCCAATGTAGAGTCGGTGTCCAATGTGTTTCAACGTGTTCCAAGAGTATGTTGCAACACGGGTCAGCTCTATACTATAATAAGGAATAAACAGCTGTTCTTTCCCAAAGGGCACTAGACTTAGCTGGTTAATGTTGGGAGTTTTATTCCCTGCTGTGCCATGGATGTCCTGCATCATGATGGATAAGTCACTCAGCAGTTTGTATGGTGGATCTGGCCTCAGTTTTCAAGATCTCCTTCTTGGGCACCCTCCCCCCAACCTAGCTTTCGCTCCCTGAATCTAGCCCCTGCCAGCTATCATGGATTATCTGTTTTCTAAAATACCCACCAAGGCCACTGCTTTCACTTGAGCATTCCTCTGTTGGGTTATGACTATTCATAACTCCTCTTTAAAAAGCAGGGATGGTTGTTATGAACATAGAGACTTTATGTGTGTCCAAAAGTTGTTAGAAATGGTTTAGGGCAGGGGAGTCAAACATGGCCTATGGCCAGCACAGTACCTAGATTCCTGATGGACCCAGGCAAACTTTTAGTATCAGCCCCCCCCCTTTACCAGAGGTAATGACGATAATAATAATAATAATAATAAAACTTACCGTTTTCGGGCCCCGCTTTCTGTCCAGGCCCAGGACAGCTGCCTGGTTCACCCATGCCTGAGTCTGGCCCTACCTATGGCCAGTGGAGACATTCTGTCCAGACTGCGGGGCTACAGGAGGTTGGGCATGGCCAGGGAAGAGGTGTGGCCTCCTGCAGGATTTATGGCCCCTTGGTCCCATGATCATCAGTGGCAGAAGGGCGAGCTGTCCCCAAACCCCTGTTGCTGCCGGTGTCACTGGGCCTGCAGGTCTGTATTGTGCCCAGGGTGAGTTTGACAGTCCTGACTGAAGGGGATCCCCAGCAGGAAAGGTCCCTGTTTTCCTACTATACAGACCACGGGGCTTGCTAATAGATAGCTGGTTAGCTGTCCATTACCAGGAAGCTTCAGTTTTACTCTAGTGTTTACAACCCCTTTTGCCTGAGGCGAATGCACGTGGGAATTAGGCAGTTCTGCTAGGTCTCTTCCCAAGAGTGCATGTCTCTTACTGTGCTACACTAGATAAGGAAAGCCTCTGCTGCACTGAAGACTTGGGCCCTCATTTGCTGTTGAGTAGCATTTAGATGTTACTCCATAGGCAGCTTGTATTCATTGTGTAAATCCCTCTGGGAAACATCATTCTAGACTTATTTGACTTTTCCTTAATTCATGCTGGGAGGTCTAAATTCCAACTGGTTCGGGTAACAAGTGAAACAGTTGATCGTTCCAGTCTACTCCGGGAATCGGAGCTCTGTTCGTAATGCAGGAGGTGCAGGAATAGGGTAGCAAAGGGGTGCCACATGCCAGATGGGGGACAGCACTGGATAAAGCCCCTGCAGCACATTCACATATGACAAGCATGATTCAAAGCTTTCTGAAGCTAAGAGTCCATCTCTTTCAAGCATGCTGGATTTCTCTAATATGGGCTATTGCATGCAGGGCCGGATTAACCCTTTAGTGGGCCCTAGGCAAACAAACTTGTGGGCCTCTACTTAATACTGTATATTTATATTACTTTTTCACTCAATAATTATAATATGTAAAATATGAACCTCTTCTTCACTTAGGGCCCCAGGCACGTGCCTAGTTTGCCTATGCGTTAATTTGGCCCTGTCTGCATGGAAGGTCCTTATGGTGCTATGAG